TCATGACAGTGTCGAGAATACCCTATTCGGCACTGGGATTTGGGTAGTTTGTTGTCGGGTTGTTTATCAGCCTATGTTCAAGCTGCTCTCTGAAAGCATGTGCTACTGCTGGATCCTCCAGACGCTTAGTGTTAAAACCTCTTCTGGAGGCTTGCTGCCTTCGCCATTTTGGGGTGACGTGAAGTGATAGCTTGGCTCTGACGAGCCGATGATCAGTGTCGCAGTGGTCTGAGCCACGCATTGCTCGGGTAATGAGGATAACTCGGCGATCTCTTTCTCTGACAATGATGTAGTCAATGAGATGCCAGTGTGTGGATCGAGGGTGTTGCCACGAACTCTTTTACTTGTCAGCCTGCCTAAACAAGGTATTGGTGATAGTGAAGTTGTGTACAGCACACGTGCTGAGGAGGAGTAGGCCGTTAGGATTACACTTCCCTAGTCCATTTCTCCCTATGGTTCCCTGCCAAATGTCAGCATCACTGCCAACTCTGGCATTGAAGTCACCAAGGAGCACAACCTTGTCTTCTCTGGGGATGGAGGTTAGCACTCTGTCAAGGTCGGCTTAAAAGGCCTCCTTGATGTCATCCTCTGCATCCAGTGTTGGGGCGTATATACTAATGAAGAAGGCATGACGTGAGTGATTCAGTGAGACTCGGAGCGTCATGAGGCACTCGTTGATCCCAATAGCCATTTCAGTTGGCCTGTGTAGGATGCGTTGGAGGATGGCAAAGCTGACTCCATAAATGCGGTTTCTGTGAGTTGACCCCTGTCTGGAAGCTGGGACTCACTAATGGCTATGTCGATGTTATACCTAGCCAGCTCTTTTGCCACAAGTGCGGTTCTTCTTTCAGGACACTCATTTGTGCCAGTATCCAGAAGGGTCCTGACATTCGATGCAGCGACCATAAGAGGTTGTATAGTTTGTTTTTGTTTGGATCTGTGATTATGATTGTGTTTTCGCCCGCACAAGGATGACATTCCTGAGTGCGGTTGCCCAGTCAGGTTGTTTTTTTAGGCAGGCTATGTTTAGGGCACCTTTTCTAGCCCCCCTCCCCATGTGGGGTGAGCAGAGTGGCTCCTCGAAATGGCTGCTCAGTCGCACAGACAGGACCGGATTGCACTGTTACCTCGATCCCAGTGCATAAACGATCATCTTAGCTGTGCCGCCCATGTGCAGAGTTGTGACTAGAGACGCCCGGCAGTCATCTCTGCCTGTCCCTGTCGCCACTTGTCCGTCGCCATGGGACTTTTGGGGGTACAGGGGTTTTGGTATTGATGAGAGGTATGATGAGCTGGTTGATGGGTGCGCGTGAGTTGATTTATGTGGTCAGGCAGGAGCACAGGCTGCAACCACACATCTTGGCTCTCCCTTTTCCTGATTCAGTGGTGCAAGTGTTGCAACGACTGGGGAGGGGGAGAGGGAGAGTTGCAATGGACTGCCGATAGTCCAGTTTGTTGGGTTTCGCCTTAGTAGTCTGTCCATTAGGCATTGCCTTCGTCCGGCGGTGTAGTCGTTGGGTTCCCTTGTTGGTCACCTCTTCCGCCTACACCGCTGTTGGGGTCATGTTGGGGCTCTGTAAGCATGTCTGCGACGTCCCTCTGGAGCCCACTGCTACTCCGACATCCACTGCTGGTCTAGCCTGGGCCCACGAGGCACCCAGTTACCGCATGTTACCACGAGGAGGCACATCAGGAGTCTTGAAGGTGAAGAGGCTGTGTACTGGCAGAGGACTTCTTATGCAAATTGCTTCCCTGTTCGCCACGAGGACTAGCCAGCAATGGTAAATGAAAGCGAGAGGAAGCAAGCAGCGCTTGCACCTAACACTACCATAATACTGCCACACTAGACGCATTACACCACCCTGTGCACACACACACACACACACACACACACACACACACACACACACACAGTGTCCGTGTGTAATGAAATTACCATTTCTGCCTATTCTGGTAATGTGTTTGTTCCGGTCGCCTAATGTGTTGTTTGTGTGCCTATACTAACCTACCCCAACCTGGGTTTTAACTTAAACTCTTGCCACCTTACTTATTTCACTCCAAACCCAACACAACCTGGGGAGGTGAGGGAAGGTGGGGGTGTGGGGAGAGTGTGGGGAAGGTGGGGGGGGTGTGGGGGTGGGGGGAGGTGGGGGGGTGTGGGGGGTGGGGAAGGTGGGGGGGGTGTGGGGTGGGGAAGGTGGGGGGGGGTGTGGGGGTGTGGGGGGTAGTGTAGAGAGTGAGGGAAGGTGAGGGGGTGTGGGGGAGTGAGGAATGTGGGGTGTGGGGAGTGAGGGAAGGTGAGGGGGTGTGGGGAGCAGTGAGGGAGAACAGGGGAGTTTGAGGGGTGAGGGTGAGGGGGTGTGGGGGGTGGGGAAGGTGAGGGGTGTGGGGGGGTGAGGGAAGGTGGGGGGGGGTGTGGGGGGTAGAGGGGGGAGGTGGGGGGGTGGGGGAGGGGAGGGGGAAGGTGTAGAGGTGGGGAAGGAGAAGGTGGGGGAGAGAAAGTGTAGGGGAGGAGGGGTAGGGGGAGTGCAGAGAGGGGTGAGTGGGGGGGGGGTGGAGGAGGTGAGGGAAGGTGAGGGGGGGAGTGTAGAGGGAGTGAGGGGAAGGGGTGAGGGGGGGGGGGAGGAGGGTGTAGGGGGGGTGTAGAGGGGTGAGGGAAGGTGAGGGGGGGGAGAGGGAAGGTGGAGGGAGTGTGGAGGAGGAGAGGGAAGAGGTAGAGGGAGTGAGGGGGAAGTGGGAGGGGGGGGTGGGGAGCAGAGGGGAAGGGAGGGAGGTAGAGGGAGGGAGGGGGGGAGTAGAGGGAGGAGGGAAGGTGAGGGGGGGGTGAGAGGGAGGAGGGAAGGTGAGGGGGTGTAGAGGGAGGGAGGGAAGGTGAGGGATGGGGGGGTGTAGAGGGAGGAGGGGAAGGGTGGGGAGTGTAGGGGGGAGGGAAGGAGGGGGTGTAGGGGGGTGTGAGGGGAGGGGAGGGAGTGGGAGGGAGGGGAGGTGAGGGAAGGTGAGGGGGGGTAGAGAGGGGAAGGTGGGGGGGGAGGGAGGGAGTGGGGGAGGGGAAGGTGAGGGGGTGGGGGGGGGTGGAGGGAAGGGTGAGGGGGGAGGGGGGTAGTGGGGAGTGAGGGAAGGTGAGGGGGGTGAGAGGGCAGGGAGAGGGGAGTGAGGGAAGGAGGGAGTGTAGAGAGAGGAGGGAAGGGAGGGGGGTAGGGGAGGGAGGGAAGGTGAGGGGGTGTAGAGGGAGAGAGGGAGGAGGGAAGGTGGGGGGGAGTGTAGAGAGAGGGAGGGAAGGTGAGGGGGGGCAGAGGGAGGAGGGAAGGTGAGGGGCAGAGGAGGAGGGAAGGTGAGGGGGGGTGTAGAGGGAGTGGGAAGGTGAGGGGTGTAGAGGAGGAGGGAGGGAAGGTGAGGAGCAGAGGAGGAGGGAGGAGGGGTGTAGAGGGAGGAGGGAAGGTGAGGGGTGTAGAGAGGGGAGTGAGGGGAAGGTGAGGGGGGTGTAGAGGGAGTGAGGGAAGGTGAAGGGAGGTAGAGGGGAGTGAGGGAAGGTGAGGGGGGTGTAGAGGGAGGAGGGAAGGTGAGAGGAGGTAGGGGATTGAGGGAAGGTGAGGGGAGGTAGAGGGGGAGGGGAAGGTGGGGGGTGGGAGAGGAAGGCAGGGGAGGAGGGAAGGGAAGGGAGTGTGGGGGTGGGGAGGTGGGGGGTAGTGGGGGAGGGGAAGGTGGGGGTGGGGGGTGTAGAGGGGAGGAGGGGAAGGTGAGAGGTGGGGGTGTAGAGGGAGTGGGGGAGGTGAGGGGGTGTGGAGGGGTGGGGGGAAGGTGGGGAGGGTGTAGAGGTGAGGAGGTGGGGGAGTGTAGAGGAGTAGGGAGGTTAGGTGAGGGGGTAGAGGGGAGGAGGGAAGGTGAGGGGTGGTAGAGGGAGGAGGGAAGGGCAGAGGTAGAGGGAGGAAGGGAAGGTAGAGGGGGGAGGTGGAGGGGGGTAGAGGAGTGGAGGAAGGTGAGGGGGGGGAGGGAGGGGGAAGGTGGGAGGGGAGAAGGGAGGGGGGTGGAGGGAGAGGGAAGGTGAGGGGGCAGAGGTGAGGAAGCTGGGGGGGGGAGGGGAGTGGTAGGGAAGGGGGAGGGGAGTAGAGGGGAGGAGGGCTGGGTGAGGAAGGAGGGAGTGAGGGGAAGGTGAGGGGAGTGTAGAGGGAGGAGGGAAGAGGGGGAGGGAGAAGGGAGGGGAGGGGAGGGAGGGGAAGGGGAGGGGGGTGAGGGGAAGGTGGGGGAGGAGGGAGGAGGGAAGGTGAGGGGGGGTGAAGGGGGGTGGGATGGAGTGAGGGAATTGAGGGGGGGTAGAGGAGTGGGGGAAGGTGAGGGGAGGTAGAGGAGTGAGGAAGGTGAGGGGGTGTAGACGGGAGTGAGGGGGTGAGGGGGGTGTAGAGGGAGAGGGGAAGGTGGGAGGGGAGTGTAGAGGGAGTGAGGGGAAGGGAGGGGGTGTAGACGGGAGTGAGTGGGGAAGGTGAGGGGGTGCAGAAGAGGGGTGAGGGAAGGGGAGGGGTGTAGAGGGAGCAGGGAAGGTGAGGGGGGGAGTGGCAGGGGAAGGTAGGGGGTGTGAGGAAGGGAGGGGGAAGGTGGGGGGGGTGGAGGGAAGGTGGGGGGGAGGGGAGGAAGGTGAGGGGGGGTAGAGGGAGGGGGAAGGTGAGGAGGGGGAGTGTGGGGTAGAGGGAGGAGGGAAGGTGAGGGGGTGTGGGGGGTGAGGGGGAAGGTGGGGGAGGAGGGAAGGTGGAGGGGTGTAGAGAGGGAGGGGGGGAGGGGGTGTAGAGGGAGGAGGAGGTGAGGGAGGGAGAAAGAGGGGGAGGGGGTGTAGGAGGTGAGGAGGGAAGGTGGGGGGGTGTAGAGGGAGGGAGGGAAGGTGAGGGGGGTGTAGAGGGAGTGAGCGAAGGTGAGGGAGTATGGCAGGAAGGAAAACTGGAGGTTAAGGAGGAAATTAAGGAAGATGTCAAAGAGGAAGTCAAGGAGGAAGTTAAAGGGAAGTCAAAGAGGAAGTTAAGGAGGAAGTGAAGGAGGAAGATAAAGAGGAAGTCAAGGAGGAAGCTAAAGATGAAGTCAAGGAGGAAGTTAAAGAGGAAGTCAAGGAGGAAGTCAAAGATGAAGTCAAGGAGGAAGTTAAAGAGGAAGTCAAGGAGGAAGTTAAAGAGGAAGTCAAAGAGGAAGTCAAGGAGGAAGCTAAAGATGAAGTCAAGGAGGAAGTTAAAGAGGAAGTCAAGGAGGAAGTCAAAGATGAAGTCAAGGAGGAAGTTAAAGAGGAAGTCAAGGAGGAAGTTAAAGAGGAAGTCAAAGAGGAAGTTAAGGAGGAATGGAAGGAGGAAGATAATGAGGAAGTCAAGGAGGAAGTTAAAGAGGAAGTCAAGAAGGAAGTTAAAGACGAAGTCAATGAGTAAGTTAAAGATGAAGTGAAGAAGGAAGTTAAAGAGGAAGTCAAGAAGGAAGTTAAAGACGAAGTCAATGAGTAAGTTAAAGATGAAGTCAAGAAGGAAGTTAAAGAGGAAAAAAATAATTAAAACCAGGTTATGTAAGGGGCGACCTACTTCCTTAGGCGAGAAACAACATTAACGGGAATTCAAACTGTTCACACACACACACACACACACACACACACACACACACACACACACACACACACTCTTCCTATCTAAAACAGTCACGATAATATAGAGATAAGAAACATTTAATAAAGGAAAGAGAAGGGTTTTTTTTACCAGACTGGAGGTGAGATTCTTAAAGGTTAGTCGGTAAATGATTTTGTAAGTCTAACATAATTTAACCTTATCTAACGTAATATAACCTGATGTATCCTCACCTCACCCAACCTAACCTAACCTAACCTAGCCTAACCTAACCTAACCTTATCTAACGTAATATAACCTGATTTAACCTCACCTAACCCAACCCAACGTAATATAACCCAACATATCCTAATGTAACCTATTCAACCAATCTAACCTAACCTAATTTAACCTTATCTAACCTAACCTCCAACCGAACCAAAACCCAACCAAACCAAACCACATCCCAACCACCAAAACAAACCTGATGATTTAATAATCCCTTAACAATTGACATTAATCGAAGACCAAAACGAAATATCTAACCAAGCGACTCAACCTTAACTCGAGGCGTTCACTTAGCAACAACAAACTCAAATAAGGTTTTTTGAACCTTCATTTTTCTGTCCCAACTGTTGCTATGGAGCATTGATCGAATTAACAAAAGAGAGAGAGAGAGAGAGAGATTGTATGTGTGTGTGGGGGAGGTTATGTGTATGTTTGTATGTCTGTGTATGGATGAGAGAGAGAGAGAGAGAGAGAGAGAGAGAGAGATTGTGTGTGTGTGTGTGTGTGTGTGTGTAGACAAGCTAGTGGACGAGCGTGGAGGATGCGGCGGCCCACCCACTGCACTATGGCACACCACCTCGAGAGCTGTAATGGTTATTGGCTTAGTCCCACGTTTTGTGAACTCGCATAAAATATTCAGGAAAGAGGTAAAAGCCCCCAGTATAGATTATCGTAGTGAGAATACCAAACACCCACGCTGAAAGCACTCGTAAGAATCGTAGTTTGAGAAGACCAAGTGTACAGCTGTGACCTCAAAGGCTCTCGTAGACGTAGTTCAGAGAGTCAATTTACTTAAGGAACTCGTAAATATCGTAGTTTAAGAATATGAGGAAGTGTAAATAAGAGACTCGTCGTAGTTTAGAAGCACCAAGTAGATCAAGAAGGACTTAGATGATTCTGAAAGCAAAATCATCAACCACACGAGACGAAATACCACTTGATTGGTTATAAACACCGTCGATTTTTTTTCTTTTGTTAACACCTGGCGAATATTTTCCACTACTAATGAAGGGATATTGGCTGGATGGTGGAGGAGGGAGATCGTCTTGATGGTGGAACACGGAACACGGAGAGACACTGGAAACACGGAACACAGGAAGACGCTGACCCACTTCGTACACGGAACACGGGAAGACACTGACCCACTTCGAACACGGAAAGACACTGACCCACTTCGTACACGGAACACGGGAAGACACTGACCCACTTCGTACACGGAACACGGGAAGACATTGACCCACTTCGTACACGGAACACGGAAGACACTGACCCACTTCAACACGGAACACGGAAGACACTGACCCACTTCAAACACGGAACACGGAAGACACCTGACCCACTTCGTAGCACGGAAACGGAGCTCTGAGAAACAATGATCCACTTCGGAAATCCAAGATGAATACTTGAGGAAAATATTGAAGGTAAAGGAAACATTAGAAAATAAATGCTGAAGTAAATCACCTGCCACACCTTAATTACGGAAGGGTGGGGGGGAGGTGAGGGGAGAGGAAGAGGGAATAAAGGAAGGAGGGGAAAGATAAAGGAGAGAGGGGAGGTAAAGGGAAAGAGGAAAGGAAAAGAGGGGAGGTAAAGGAAAAGAGGGGAGGTAAAGGAAAAGAGGGGAGGTAAGGGAAAGAGGGAGGTAGGGAAAGAGGGGAGGTAAAGGAGAGAGGGGAAGGTAAGGGAGAGAGGGGAGGTAAAGGAAAGAGGGGGGTAGATAAGGGAAAGAGGGAGAGGTAAGGGAAAGAGGGGAGGAAGGGAAAGAGGGGAGGAAAGGAGAGAGGGGAGGTAAAGGGAAAGAGGGGGAGGTAAAGGGAGAGAGGGAAGGTAAGGAGAGAGGGGAGAAAGGAAAGAGGGGGAGGTAAGGGAAAAGAGGAGGAGGAAAGAGGGGAGGTAAAGGGAAAGAGGGGAGGTAAAGGGAGAGAGGGAAGGTAAGGAGAGAGGGGGAGGTAAAGGGAAAGAGGGGTAGATAAGGGAAAGAGGGAGAGGTAAGGGAAAGAGGGGAGGTAAAGGGAAAGAGGGGGAGGTAAAGGAAAGAGGGAGAGGTAAGGGAAAGAGGGGAGGTAAGGGGAAAAGAGGGAGGTAAAGGGAAAGAGGGGCAAAGGAGAGAGGGGAGGTAAAGGGAAAGAGGGGAGGTAAAGGAAAGAGGGGGAGGTAAGGGGAAAGAGGGGGAGGTAAGGGAAAGAGGGGGAGGCAAAGGGAAAAGGGAGGGTAAGGGGAAGATGGAGAGGTAAGGGGAATAGGGAGAGGAAGAGGTGGGGAGAATGATAAGGACGAGGATGGGAAGGGAGTGCTATATTTACCTTAAGAGAATAACTATTAAAACGGGTAATGGTAGAGTAGGGGAGGAGGAGGTGGAGGAGAAGGGAGAGGGGGGAGGAGGAGGAGAAGGGAGAGGGGGGAGGAGGAGGAGGAGGAGGGAGGAGGAGGAGGAGGAGGAGGTGAAGGAGAAGGAGGAGGTGGGAGAGGATAAAGGAGAGGAAGGAGGAGGTAAGAAGAGCAGGGAGAGGGAGGTGTAATTAGGGTGGATGAAGAGGTGAGAGGTAAGATGAGGGGTGAGAGAGGTGACTACAGTAAGGGGAAGAGGGAGATGGGAGAGAGGAAGGAAGAGGGAAGGCGAGAAGAAGGGAGAATGAGTCCACAAAACACAACACGCATACATCTTCCCCTTCCCCTTCCTCCCCCCCTTTCCCCCCAAAGCTGCCACCTAGTTATTACGCCTCGTTCACCTTGTCTGATTTACGCGACCTACGCACGCACACACGCACGCACGACACACACACACACACACACACACACACACACACACACACACACACACACACACACACACACACACACACACACACCTTCCTTCCTCCTCCGATAAAGTCATCCATACATCTTGCGTAACAATATATTATTTCACACACCTGCCATGAGGGATTTACACGTCCCAGGAGAGTCAGCTGTTGTTGTCAGGTGTTTGTGTTATCGAGAGAGAAAAACAGACGTGACTCAGTGACTTTGGGCTGTATGGGTTTGTAATTCTCCTTCATATATTTTTTTTCTACTACAGACAAGGTTCCGAAGGTTAACACGCACACTGGACACGTCAGGTTAGGTTAGGTTAGGATTAGGTTAGGTTAGGTTAGGTTAGGTTAGGTCAGGTTAGGTTAGGTTAGGTTAGGTTAGATTAGGTTATTGCCATAACCGCTAAGTTAGATTAGATATGAGATGGGAGTTTATTAATCCTGGGCCTTGATCACCTCAACATGGTATGACTGTAGTGGTACAGGTGTGGCGGTGTGGTACAGGTGTAGTACAGGTGTGGCCAGGTGTGGTCAGGTGTGGTACAGGTGTGGTCAGGTGGTACAGGTGTAGTACAGGTGTGGCCAGGTGTGGTACAGGTGTGGTCAGGTGTGGTACAGGTGTGGTCAGGGCTGTGTGTTTTGTTTCCTCAGCGACAGGACGCGTGGACGGCAGCCACTATAACACTGTCTTGCCCCCTAACGTCAGGCCAATGTACAGTACATCAGGTCGATCACCCTATTGGTTTTTCTGATGAAACTCGACGTTGTGGATAACATGTCAGTAGGCAGGTCGAGGTGACGGCAGGAGTTAAGACATTGCCCTCACCCTTTCTCCTTCCCTCCACACCCTTCTCCCTTTGCTCCCTCCCTTCCATCCCTCCTTTCCTCTCCACCCCCCACCCACCCCACCTTCCCCTCTTCAATCCTCCCTCTTCCCTCTCTTCAGCCCCCTCCCCTCTGTAGTGGCACAGTCTGGCACTACGTCAGGTCGTTTTCTCCGAGCGTCTTGGTGTAATTCGATGGTGTGAGGGAGGGGCGGAGCAGCAGCAGTGGCACGACCCCCTAAAAGGACACCTTCCCAATATTATAGGTCATTTTTGGTCTTTATGGTCGTTTTTCCTATGGGCTGTGGACCGTAACTCGACCGTGGTAAGGGCAAGAGGGGTGAATCATAGCACTGTTTTGTCTCCACCATATTTTGTGCGTATGGTTGTATTTCCTGCTGAGTTATCCACTGAAACTTGACCGAAAGGAAGCGAAACTGGTCAAGGTGAGTATGACACTCATTTCTTCCCTCTGTAGGGTGGTTATGTCACTATCTTGCCTCCAGTACATTCGGTCGTCTCTCCCTTCTATTTCTTATTGGAAGTCGACGTAATGGACACAAGAAATGACATGGCCATCTCCCTTCCTCCGTGGCAAATTATGACACTGTCTTCCTCCTTACACATGACACTATCTTAACCAACCACGTAAGGGTCGATTCTTCCTGGGATTCCTGAATGAAAATCGACGATATAGAGGCGAGATCTTTATAGTGAGTATACTATTGTCTTCCCCCTTCCAAGGAGAGGTATAACACTATCTTACCCCCGTCACGGTACATTTGGTCGTTTCTCCTGTAGTTTATATTGATACCCGACACTGCAGAGACGACACAGGCAAGTATAGCACTGTCTTCCCCCCTCACACGGTACGTTTGGTCGTTTCTCCTGTAGATTTCTATGCAGATACCCGACGTTATGAGGGGGGGTTAACGACATCACCCGAGCGACGCCGTTTAGAATTCAAGAAATGCCATTCCGATAATCCTGCTCACGGACCGTATATGACGGTGGGACACGGAGGGGGAGTGTTAGTGAGAGGGAGGAGTGAGAGGGTTAGTGAGAGGGAGGAGTGAGAGGAAGAGTGTTAGTGAGAGGAAGAGTGTTAGGAGTGAGAGGTGGTGTGTTATGAGGGAGAGGGAGAGAATGAGCCAGGAGAGGAGAGAATGAGCCAGGGAGAGGAGAGGGCAGGGCAGGAGGAGAATGAGCCAGGGAGAGGGAGAGAGAATGAGCCAGGGGAGGAGAGAATGAGCCAGGGAGGAGAGAATGAGCCAGGAGGAAGAGATGGGCCAGGGAGAGGAAGATGAGCCAGGAGAGGAGAGAATGGAGCCAGGGAGAGGGAGAGAATGAGCCAGGGGAGGAGAGAATGAGCCAGGGAGAGGAAGAGAATGAGCCAGGGAGAGGGAGAGAATGAGCCAGGGAGCGTGTTCTTACAATAAGTTACCAGAAAACTTGACCTACTTTGATCACCTTAAGATGCCACGGCGGAGGGGAGGTTAGGGGTGGGGTGTAAGGGGGGTGAGGGAGGGGTGTGAGGGAGGTGGGTGATGGGAAGGGGTGAGGGGAAAGAGGTGAGGGGAAGGGGCGAGGCAGGGGGGAGGTTGAGGCATGATACTACGTTAACTTAAGGGTAAAAAAAAACTTCTCTCGTCGCCATAAAGAACTCGGGCTGCCTCTCAGCCCCAAGCCGGATGTCTGTTGAGGTAGGTTAGGTTAGGTTAGGTTAGGTTAGGTTAGGTTAGGTTAGGTTAGGCTAGGTGGAAAAAATAATTTAAAATTTCAAGTAAAACAAATGTTAAAAAATTAAATACCGTTTGGTTAAAAAAGTTAAATACATAAGTTTCATTAAAAAAGTTTACGCTAATAAAGTTGAAATAAAACAAATAAGCTAATATAAAAGTTAGATTGACCTAAGATATAATAAAATAAATTTCAGTTCAAAAAATTACAAAAAATACCGAGAGAGAGAGCTGACTGGCGTTGATTGAGTTAGCGAAAATTTTGGTCCTTTTAACTGTATACAGAAATATTATACACAGAGCTCGGGTAGTAGGCAGCTACCAAACAGGGAGGTACTACCGCCTGGGAAGACATTGGAAGCATAATGTATTGTCTAACGGTAGACCCTGCTGCCATATGACACCACAAAAATTGTGATCAAGTCCCAGGTTGCTGATCTGACTTTCTCCCTCATTTATACACAATTGCAGGGTCTCAATTGTTTCTCTTACTATTGACAACACAACATACATATATTGTTCCTCACTTTTGATTTTTATTTTTTTCATTTTTGTATTTCTTTATAGTTCTTTATTATTATTATTATTATTATTATTATTATTATTATTATTATTATTATTATTATTATTATTGTTATCATTATTAATTTATTTTACTTTTTATCAAAATGTATTTACTATGAAAAATTATTACATCCCCCCCCCCGGTGTGAGTCAGTGACCTGTGCCTGGGAGAGATAATCCCGTAAAAAAATAATAATAAAAATAAAATAAATAAATAAAAATGATGATGACAGTAAGTACTGTTTGGCTGTCAGGGTGTAGGTGATGAGAGCTCTTGGGTGTGGGGGTGGGTGGTGGCGTGGGTGTGTGGGTGGTGGGTGTGGGGGGGTGGGTGGTGGCGTGGGTGGTGTGGGAGGTGGGTGTGGGATGGTGGGTGGTGGCGTGGGTGTGTGTGTGGGTGGGTGTGGGGTGGGTGGTGGCTGGGTGTGTGGGAGGTGGCGTGGGTGTGTGGGTGGTGGGTGGGTGGTGGGTGTGTGTGGGAGGTGGGTGTGGGGGGTGGGTGGTGGCGTGGGTGTGTGGGAGGTGGGTGTGGGGGGTGGGTGGCGTGGGTGTGTGGGAGGTGGGTGTGGGGGTGGGTGGTGGCGTGGGTGTGTGGGTGGTGGGTGTGGGTGGTGGCGTGGGTGTGTGGGTGGTGGCGTGGGTGTGTGGGTGGTGGGTGTGGGGGTGGGTGGTGACGTGGGTGTGTGGGAGGTGGGTGTGGGGGGTGGGTGGTGGCGTGGGTGTGTGGGAGGTGGGTGTGGGGGGGTGGGTGGTGGCGTGGTGTGGGAGGTGGGTGTGGGGTGGGTGGTGGCGTGGGTGTGTCGGTGTGTGGGAGGGTGGTGTGGGGGTTGGTATATTTTTTTTCTTTTGTAGAAAAGGAGGGTGAAGGAAGATTAGAGGTGGGGAAGAGTTATAGTTCGGAACTGAAGAAATTTAGGAGGAGAGGTAAGAGAGGGCGGGCTGACCGCCTAGCTAAGCTAATAATTGTGTTGTGTGGGGTTGGTATGGGTGGTGGACTCACCCCCCTCCGACACCCCGTCACTCCCACACTGACCCCTCCTCCTGGCCCCTCACTCCCCTGACCCCTCACCTCCCACCCCGACACCCCCTGACCCCCCTCCTCCGCCTCACCCCCCCTCCAATCCCCCCCCTCCCCACCCCTCACTTCGCCTGACCCCCTCATTCCCTTGACCCCTCCCGACCCCCTGACCCCCCTCCTCCCCTGACCCCCCCCTCACTTCCCTAACCCCACTCACTCCCCTGACCCCTCCTCCCCTGACCCTCCACTCCGCCTGACCCCTCACTCTGACCTCCCTCACTCCCCGACACCCCCTGACCCCTCAACCCCTAACCCTCCTCCGCCTGACTCCCCTCAATCCCCTGACCCACTCACTTGCCTGACCCCCCTCATTCCCCTTGACCCCTCACTCCCCTGACCCTCTCCTCCCCCTGACCCCTCACTCCCCCTAACCCCTCCTCCTGACCCCCTCACTCCCCGACACCCCTGAGCCCTCAATCCCCTGACCCCTCACTCCTCCTGATCCCCTCATTCCCCTTGACCCTCCTCCCCCTTACTCCCCCGACACCCCAGCCCTCACTCCGCCTGACCCCTCCTCGACCCCCCTCCTCCCCAGCCCTCCCTCCCCTGACACCTAGTTAACAGCCACGGCAGTCATCGGGGCTTATATACCACCATAGAGACAGCCAGCTTATACGGGGGTAGTGCGACACCTTTGACTTTGTTGTACAAGAGTAGGTGACGTGTGTGTGTGTGTGTGTGTGTGTGTGTGTGTGTGTGTGTGTGTGTGTGTGTGTGTGTGCTTTTTATTATTTTTCTTCTCTCTCTCTCTTACCAATCTTATCATTTGTCCCTTCCTTTCTCTCCCTAACCCCCTTATTCCTTCCCTATCCCTCTTTCCTCCCTAAATATCTCCCCAAAACCAATTCTCTTCCCTCGCCTTTCCTCTTTCATCTCCTTAAGACTCTCCTCCCCTCTCCTCTCCCTTCCCTACCTCTCTCTCCCTTTCCTCTCTCCCTTTCTCTCCTTTCCCCTCCTTCCTCTCTCTCCTCTCTCCTCCTTCTCTACCTCTCCTCTCCTCTCTCCTGCCTCTCTCCTCTCCCTTCCCTACCTCTCTCTCTCCCTTTCCCTCCCTTTCTCCCTCTCCTCTCCCCTGCGTCTCTCTCCCTCTCCTCTCCCCTCTCTCCTGCCTCTCTCTCTCCTCCCCCTTCCCTACCCCTCTCTCTCCTTTCCTCTCCCTTTCTCTCCCCCTCCCCCTCTCTCTCTCCTCTCCTTTCCCCCTTCCCTACCTCTCTCTCTCCTTTCCCTCCCTTTCTCCCCTGCGTCTCTCCTCCTCTCCTCTCCTCTCCCCTGCCTCTCTCTCCTCCCCTCTCTCTCTCCTCTCCCTCTCCCCTGCCTCTCTCTCCTCCCCTCTCTCTCTCCTCTCCTCTCCCTGCCTCTCTCTCCTCCCCTCTCTCTCTCCTTTCCTCTCCCTTTCTCTCCTCTCCCTCTCCCCTCCCTCTCCCTCCTCCCCTCTCTCCTCCTCTCCCCTGCCTCTCTCTCCTCCCCTCTCTCCTCTCCCCTGCCTCTCCCTCTCCCTGCCTCTCCCTCTCCTCCCCTCTCTCTCTCCTCTCCTCTGCCTCTCTCTCCTCCCTCTCTCCTCTCCTCTCTCCTGCCTCTCTCTCCTCTCCCTGCCTCTCTCCCCTCTCCCCTCTCTCTCCCTCTCCTCTGCCTCTCCTCCCCTCTCTCCCCTCTCCTCTCCTGCCTCTCTCTCCTCTCCCTTCCCCTACCTCTCTCTCTCCTTTCCCTCCCTTTCTCCCCTCTCCTCTCTCCCCGTCTCTCTCCTCTCCCTTTCCTCTCTCCTGTTCTCTCTCCTCCCCTCTCCTCTCTCCTCTCCTCTCTCCTGCCTCTCTCTCCTCCCCTCTCTCCTCTCCCCCACGAGGTAAGTAAGATAATTAAGCCACGGGTCATAAACTAAGAGATTATCCTAGTTAATCACCAGTAGAGGTTGATTCCTGTTCCGTGTAGCTCTGTTCCGTGTGACTGTTCCGTGTAGCTCTGTCGTGTGACTGTTCCGTGTAGCTCTGTTCCGTGTGACTGTTCCGTGTAGCTCTGTTCCGTGTAGCTCTGTTCCGTGTAGCTCTGTTCCGTGGCTCTGTCCCTGTAGCTGTTCCGTGTAGCTCTGTTCCGTGTGACTGTTCCGTGTAGCGCTGTCCCGTGTAGCTGTGTTCCGTGTGAATGTTCCGTGTAGCTCTGTTCCGTGTGACTGTTCCGTGTAGCTCTGTTCCGGTGACTGTTCCTTGTAGCTCTGTTCCGTGTGACTGTTCCGTGTAGCTCTGTTCCGTGTCTGTTCCTGTAGCTCTGTTCCGTGTGACTGTTCGTGTAGCTCTGTTCATGTGACTGTTCCGTGTACCTCTGTTCCATGTGCCTGCTCCATGTACCTCTGTTCCATGTGCCTGCTCCATGTACCTCTGTTCCATGCCTGCTCCATGTACTCTGTTCCGTGTGACTGTTCCATGTACCTCTGTTCCGTGTGACTGCTCCATGTACCTCTGTTCCATGTACCTGCTCCATGTACCTCTTTCCGTGTGACTGTTCCATGTACCTCTGTTCCATGTGCCTGCTCCATGTACCTCTGTTCCATGTGCCTGCTCCATGTACCTCTGTTCCATGTGCCTGCTCCATGTACCTCTGTTCCGTGTGACTGTTCCGTGTACCTCTGTTCCATGTGCCTGCTCCATGTACCTCTGTTCCATGTGCCTGCTCCATGTACCCTTGTCCATGTGCCTGCTCCATGTACCTCTGTTCCGTGTGACTGTTCCATGTACCTCTGTTCCGTGTGACTGCTCCATGTACCTCTGTTCCATGTGCCTGCTCCATGTACTCTGTTCCGTGTGACTGTTCCATGACCTCTGTTCCATGTGCCTGCTCCATGTACCGCTGTTCCGTGTGACTGTTCCATGTACCTCTGTTCCATGTGCTTGCTCCATGTACCTCTGTTCCGTGTGGCTGTTCCTGTACCTCTGTTCCGTGTGACTGGGTCTATATACCTCTGTTCCGTGTGACTGCTCCATGTACCTCTGTTCCGTGTGACTGCTCCATGTGACTCTGTTCCGTGTGACTTCCATGCTCTGTTCCCGTGTGGCTGTTCCTGTACCTCTGTTCCGTGTGCTGTTCCCTGTACCTCTGTTCCGTGTGACTGGGTCTATATACCTCTGTTCCGTGTGACTGCTCCATGTACCTCTGTTCCGTGTGACTGTTCCATGTACCTCTGTTCCATGTGCTTGCTCCATGTACCTCTGTTCCGTGTGGCTGTTCCCACCTCTGTTCCGTGTGACTGGGTCTATATACTCTGTTCCGTGTGACTGCTCCATGTACCTCTGTTCCGTGTGACTGCTCCAGTGACTCTGTTCCGTGTGACGTTCCATGTACCTCTGTTCCGTGTGACTGCTCCATGTGACTCTGTTCCGTGTGACTGCTCCATGTACCTCTGTTCCATGTGCTTGCTCCATGTACCTCTGTTCCGTGTGACTGTTCCCTGTACCTCTGTTCCGTGTGGCTGTTCCCTGTACCTCTGTTCCGTGTGACTGGGTCTATATTACGTCATAAATTCTCCACTCGAGGGTGACCACTGTGACTCGAGAGGCTACTTCGAGCGTGACCAGGAAGGGGGTGTGCCATCCATTCATCTACCCAACCACTGAGTCGAATGAGGTCACGTGTGATTAGGGGTCAAGATGCAGAGATTGGATTGGTCTTTGATTGGATGGTGAGATGTAACGATTGGATAGAATTTGGTTATGTGGGATTGGGTAGGTATTAAGAAGTCATGATTGGTTGGATTTATTTACATTAATTAGGTGAGGAGCCCTGATTGGCTAGTCACGCGACATGGTGGTGATGAGATTGGTAAGGATACTCTGATTGGCAGATTCGACGAATTGATGAAGTCCTGGAGCACGCTGATTGGTGGATTCTCTCACCTGAAGGGCAACAAGGCGTTCTGATTGGTGTATTAAATCATTTGGTATACCTGGTGTGTGTGTGTGTGTGTGTGTGTGTGTGTGTTGATATGTGTGTATATATAAAGTACATACGGTTTTATACATACATGTGACTGTAAGTGTGTGTAAGTATTTTAGAATAGACAGACAGACAGCTAGAAAGACAGACAGACAGACAAACAAACAGACAGACAGACAGACAGACAGACAGACAGACAGACAGACAGACAGACAGACAGACAGAGAGAGAGAGAGAGAGAGAGAGAGAGATGCAATACCACCGCTATTAATTAATTATTCTGTAGCAACTGTGATTGAGCTTATTAAACGACACTAATTACAGGTAATGAGTCTGTGTTTACACCTGAGGATCTCTCTCTCTCAAATTAACCGACACAAACATATCAAAGTCACAAACAAACATAAATATATATATATACTTTACACACACACACACACACACACACACACACACACACACACACGGTCATGCGCTATTATCCCCATGACCATGAATATTGCATGATATGTAAATTGACTGATTGTATGAAATTACAATCCAGGTCGAGCTTACTATGACACACACACACCTCCATACATGACACACCACCATGCATGACAAAAACGTACATACATACATACATACATACATACATACATACATACATACACACATACCTACTCGTCCCCTGTATAATCTAATAGTGTAACCATCATTCATAGTTACAATACAACCGTTACAACATTAACTACTCCAGTGACATGTAGTGGTGAAATACATTGGTGATAAACAGTTAGGTTAGGTTAGGTTAGGTTAGGTTAAGGTAGGTTGGGTTGGGTTAAGTTAAGTTAGGTTAGGTTGGGTTAGGTTAGGTTAGGTTAGGTTAGGTTAGGTTAGGTTAGGTTAGGTTAGAGGTTGACAGGTAGAATGACAGGTGCAGAAGGATGGGGCACTACCAAATCTTAATTCATGTGTCCTCCATCACCCACCCACTCAGGACAGCCAGGTGTACAAATAGAATTCATATATGGACAACCCCTCCTCCACACCCCTACCCCACCCCACCCCTCCTCCACCCCCTACCCACCCCCCACCCCCCACCTCTCTTCCCCACCACCACCACAAAAATATATATAATAATAATCTTTGGTACTTAAGGACAGAGAGATGCTTGATGTGTTATGTATATATATAAGTCCAGGTACAGCCTAAGAGTTCCCTTTCGTGGTAATGGTATGTGTATGTGTATGTATGTGTGTGTGTGTGTGTGTGTGTGTGTGTGTGTGTGTGTGTGTGTGTGTGTGTGTGTGTGTGTGTGTGTGTGTGTCCTCTCTCCTCCTTCACCTCCACCTTTCCCTCCTCCTCTCTACCTCCTCATTCCTACCTTCCCTCTCTCTTCCTTCTTCCTCCTCTCCCCCCTTCTCCCTTCCTCCTTACCTTCCTCCTTCCAACTCTTCCCTCCCCTTCCCTCCTGCTTCAACCCCCACACACACACACAGAGGATCGTCCAGGCCGGGTAAGAGTCCAGACCAAGAGAGAGTAAGAGCGAGAAGAAGGAGTCCTCGTAATACCATTTTGGTGAGTCTGAGTTTGACAGATTTACCGAAGCTTAATAATACCTGGAGGTAGTGGTGGGCATTTGGGGTCCGTTCTGTCTGTCTGTTTGTCCGTCTATCTGTCTCTTTCCTCTGTCTCTCTCTCTTCCCTGTTATCCTCGTTTTCATCCCTCCAGACAGACAGAAAGCAGAAAGAGACAGACAGACAGACAGACAAAACACTCCATACATCATTATATAAACAAGAATCACTTCTATCCTCTTCATAACTCATCATATAGGATATACCAGGGGCAGAAGTATGGTATATTAGACCTCCAGGGTATATCAGGTTGTTATTTAAGAGGCCTATAATGTGATGGAGTATGATAGAGTGTCCTTAAACATATTGGCATTATTAAATACACTTATTGTATAAGGGGGGGTTAATATCGTGGTGTAATTTGTCACCTTCGATCATTTGGTGTGGTGATGTTGTTGGAGGTGTTTTGTGATGTTGTGATGTTAATGTTGTGATGTTGTTATTGGTGTGATTTTGTGATGTTAATGTTGTGATGTTGTGATGCTGTTCTTGTTGTGTTTTTGTGATGTTATTGTTGTGATGTTAGTGTTGTGATGTTGTTATTGTTGTGATGCTGTTCTTGTTGTGTTTTTGTGATGTTGTTATTGTTATGTTAAATTGTTGTTGTTATTTGTTGTGTTGTTGTTGTGTTGTTGTTGTGTTAAGATGTTAAGTGTTGTGTGTTGTTGTTGTGTTGTGATGTTAGTATGTTGTGTTGTGTTGTGATGTTAAATTGTTGTGTTGTTGTTGTTGTGTTGTTGTTGTTGTTGTATTTATAAGCTTTAGTTTGGTGATTCATTCTATCTTTCTTTCTTTTCTCTCTCTCTCTCTCTCTCTTTTTTCTTCTCCGTCCGTGTTTCATTTATTTCTTTTTGTCAGTTTTTCTTTTTGTCTTTTTTGTCTCTGTATCTCATCACCACCACACTACCTGCAACACCCACACCACCCTCACCACTACACCACCCCACACCACACCACCACTACCCCACACCACCACACCACCACTACCTCTACACCACACCACACCACAAACACACTACCACCCACCACCACTATCACACACCACACCCACATCTACCACCACCATCACCACTATACTACCCACACCACCACCACTTTACCCACACCACTATCACCACACCACCACTATCACTAACACCACACCACCACCACCTATACCCACCACCCACCCACCACTACCACACCACACCATCACCACTATCACCATACCACACCACCACCACTATTACACACCACCATCACCACACACCACCACACTATAACCTAACACCACACACACCCCACCACCACACCCCACCACACCATACCCCACCACTGTTACCACACCACCACAACCACACCACTACCACCCACACCACCACCACTATCACCTAACACCACACCACCACCACCATCACCACACCACCACCCCACCACTACCAAACCACCACCATCACCACCACCACACCACCACCACATCACCACCACCACTATCACCCCATCACCACACCACCACCACCATCACCACACCACCACCATATCACCACACCACCACCACTATTACCACACCACTCACCACACCACCTATCACCACACACCATCACCACTATCACCACCACATCACCACCATCACCACCACACCACCACACCACACACCACTATCACCACACCACACCATCACCACTATCACCCACCACACTATCACACCACACCATCACCACTACACCACACCACACCACTATCACCACACCACCACCACTATCACCCACACCACCACCATCACCACCAAACCATCACCACTATCACCACACCACCACCACCATCACCACACCACACACCACCACCACTATCCCACACACCACCACCTTTATCACCACACCACACCACCACCCCACCACCACTACCACACCATCACCACTATCACCACACCACACCATCACCACTATCACCCACACCACCACCACTATCACCACACCACCACCATTATCACACCCACACCACCACCACTATCACCACACCACCACCACTATCACCACAACACACCAATCACCCACCACCACCGTGGAGGCAGCGGCGGCGGCTCAGGAACCTACATACTCAGCGAATAATTTCAATTGACTGGTCTAGCGTCAGGCCTGCTCACCTCGAGGCTTCCTGGTATGTTAATGTCCAGGTCTGTGGAGGCGGGGTCTGGAGGAGGTCTGGAGGAGGTCTGGAGGAGGTCTGGAGGAGGGCTGGAAGAGGCTGGAGGTCTGGGAGGAGTTCTGGAGGATGTCTGAAGGCTGTCTAGAGGAGGTCTGGAGGATGTCTGAAGGATATCTGGAGGAGGCTGGAGGAGGTCTGGAGGAGGGCTGGAAGAGGCTGGAGGAGGTGGAGGTCTGGAGGAGTTCTGGAGGATGTCTGAAGGATGTCTAGAGGATATCTCTGGAGGAGGGCTGGAGGAGGTCAGAGGAGTCTGAAGGATATCTGGAGGAGGTCTGGAGGAGGGTCTGAGGGACGGTCTCTGGAGGAGGGCTGGAGGAGGTCTGAACAATCTGGAGGGAGGGATGGAGGGGCTGGAGGATATCAGAGGGAGGGCTGGAGGGGGAGGTCTGGAGGGAGGGGAGGAGGGCTGGAGAGCTGAAGGAGGTCTGAGGGAGGTCTGAGGAGGCTGGAGGAGGAGGACTGGGTGAAGATGGAGGTCTGGGAGGCTGGGTGAGGTTAGAGGGGTAGAGGGTGGGGGTAGGGGTGGGGGTGGGGGTGGAGAGGGTGGGGGTAGAGGGTAGGGGGTGGGAGGGTAGGGGTGGGGGGTGGGGTGGGGTAGGGGTGGGGGTGGGTGGGGGTGGGGAGTGGGGTGGGGGTGGGGTGGGGTGGGGGTAGGGGGTGGGGGGGTAGGGGGGTGGGGGTGGGG